ATAAATAAAAGTCACAAGGTGCCAGGTCGGGACTGTACGCGGGATGGATCATAAGGTCAACGTTGTTCACCTTCAAAAATTCATTTGTCTGTCTGGCTGTGAGAACTGGCATTATCGTGGTGCAAGAATATACGGCGTTTACGGTTATTTTTACGGAGTTTGTGTGGACAAATGGTCATGTACCAATCACTATTCACGGTACAACTATTCTCCAAAGCAACAGTAGCCACGTGTCCAGTTTTAAGAAAAAAAGAAGCAATCATCCGCTTAGAGGCACTTTGCACGCGCGCCACTTTGGTTGGTTTCGGCTCATCTCGAAAGACCCATATGCTCGATTACTGCTTTGATTTGGGATCGTAACTATAAATTCATGTTTCGTCACCTGTTACTATGTCCCAAACCAAAATTGACACCCCTTCGTTGAATCTGGTAAGCATGACATTGCACCAAGTGACGCGATCCGTTTTTGAACGCCAGTCAAATTATGTGAGATCCACCAAGAACACAGCTTTTTCACATCCAAATGTTTGTGTAGTATTGATAGTATTTGACTCATGCCTATGCCTAAAGATGCCCGAATCTCATGGTATGTCACATGCCTGCCTGTTTTTGTTGTTCACAGCAATGGACGGGCGACCATCACGAAAATCGTCACTGAGATTCACACGACCGCGTTTGAATTCTGCAAACCAGTAATAAATAGTAGTCTTGCATGGTGCTTCATAGCCAAAAGCAGTTTGAAGCTGAGAGAAGCTCCACTGAGCTGTTAAATTACACTTAAAAGTCGTAGAAAATCATACTACGAAAATATTCATCATTTTATATTGATTCAACATAAAATATTCAATGTAAATTATTGAATTTTTGACAGTATGTTGTTAATACATATCTATGGAAAAGCAACACACGGCAACTATACAGGAAGCATTTGGAAATCGCACTGTAAAGCCCGTAGTTAGTTTTTTTGAGATCCCTGTAACGAAACGGGGTACTCCATAGTATCATATTTAGATATTTATATTACGGTCAACGTCGTTGGTTACCACGAACGGGTTAACGCAAGTTTACATAAGTTCATATATCGAAATGCAGGTAACCATAATGAAGTCTCACAACGTAAAGCATCGGTAGATGTGCACCACAAAGTTCTCCAGCGATAAAGTTACGCATACTTGAGCACGTCTCCAGAAGCCAAACGAGTATGGCGAGCATTTCGGTCCCCTTTCTACGGGTTCTTAGTCTTTGTCATGGAAGTAATTAATTTGAATTTTATTCCTGTTTTAATATGGGTTATCTTAATAATATTTATTTACGGTAGTCCAAACATAACTGTTTCTTTTTAAAACAACAAAAAGAAAAAAGCGATAAAAAACTAAAGTGTCGAGATTTAAAGAAATACTTGAACCGCATCGAAATTATACTCAAAAGGGACGACCGAAGACAAAATTCAAACTTAAATGTTTCCAAGAATCAAGCATTCCGAAATTACATCCGTTTCGATGAAAACAGCGCCATTCTTGAAAGTTATTTATTGTTGAGCCGAATAACCATCAGAGTGTGATTTGTAGATTATTATTATTTAATAAAACAATCTAAAATAGTTGCGTTTTTTTAAATAAGAACTGTAAATCTTTTGCTTATATTGCACACGTGGCTCATATGATACTATACAAAAAAAATACATCTAATTGATGATGACAATGTGCCAGATAATCATATCAATGAAAGTAAAGAAAACTTCGTGAGCACTACCCAGAACCACTTTAGAAAAAGGAATTATCTAAATAGCGCCTAGACTGTAATCGGGACCTGTAATTACACGGTAAAAGTAGTCCTCCGTTCTTAGCTTTATACCGAAACTTCTTATCATAAATCTTAAGTTAAGTGTTTACAGGATTATGTAATGAATACGTAATATAATTTATATATACAAGTAAATGAGTCACGCGTATCGTATACCGGATAGGATTTTATCGCGGCTACCGGTGCGTTACACACACAGCATAACCACATTTCATGCAACGGATTACCAAAGATGGGTCATTCATATTATAACTCATACATACCTTAAAAGTCATACGCGTTTTTGACCTCTACAAGTGTGGTGTCTTTTCGTCGAAACGTGGAGAATGGAGTTTGTGTTACAAAAAAACTGTACGTTGTTAATTGAAATCGTAAAAACTAGTTGGATTTCATAAATTTACTAAGGAGTCATAATTTAAACAATTTTCAAAATTGTAATTCGATTAATGGTAATGTATGGAACTTCGTCAAGGGTTCTATTCGAGTAAAACTAATTTTTGGAATAGCTACGAATGTTCATCCGTCTCGTTCTCTACAGAATGTGTTAGGTTAGGAATTTGTTCCCAATACTTCTAAAGCCGTTGAAATATCACATTTTTTCCGGCGTCGATTTCACTGATATTTTGGAACTCTAGAGGGTTTCTCTTTGTTGACAGTGACAAAGTACCCATTTATTCAATTTGTAACTCTGTTCCCGATTGGCGTGATGCCAAATCTCTTAATGGGAGAATCTTTGCTTTATTAAAAACTTAACAGTTTAAATATAATTGCTTGATAAATATTGTTCAACCGATTCATAATCCTGAGCTAATTCTTGTTAAATTACAGACATTAAAGAGTATTAAATATTTGAACAGTCTAAACTTTCACTTCAGGCTTCGTTACTGTCGGTCGTCAAAAACACATCAACATTCTGTGGACATTTAGGCTTGCGTCGTCGGATAGCTATCTCTTAATAATTCACTTTAGCGTTAGCTGCATCACGTTCCGCTACACGCAGACGGTGCGACATATTAGATTGAAGCACCATCAGTATATCTAGCACTAAATGGTGCGACTGTTCGTTTGATGAAGATTGCAACTTTGTAGTAAAATAAACAAACATATTTTCTTCACAAGGGTTTTTTCTCGTCATTGGTATGCTGTTTAAAGGCTACCATTTAATGTTAAAAAGACCAATAAAATTATAAAACTCATCATATAAATTGAAAAACGCTATAATAGTGACCCAGTAACCTGGATTGACTTAACAACTCCACCTTTCTATCTCAAGTTTGTTTTAGTGTTAGCGGATATCCACATGTATACTCGCGATAACGGTGGTCGACACTCGCAGGAAATTGGAAACTGGTTTAAATAGTTTCCAGTTTTATCACCGCAGAATACTTCGTTAGCAAACTCCGTGAGAAAAAAGGGCATAATGAAAAGTTGATATATTGCAAGTGCTTCGACAAAAAAAAACATCGTGATGTGTGCACAATCACGATTATCACTACGAAGTATACGTCGACAGTACAAAATGTATTATTTATTATACGATATTCTACATTTAAATCATTTGCATTCCATATACGATTCATATATCAAACATTTTTGTGAAGAAACAGTAGTAGAGCTTGAGTATCGTGAATTTCTAGCAAATGTAGTTGACACCATAATGGTATTTAAAACTTATCCAGTCAAATATCACTGGAGCCGGATTTCATAGCATTGAGTAGAAGCGGCGCGGTTCAGCCAGGGCAGGTTTTCGCCCATGACCGTCAAAATTTCGTCACGTGTCTCCTCTCTTCCTTAGTCAATGTCATTACTTATTCCGTATTTCTGATTTATTATCCGACGTTCGATAATTTGATGATAGACTTTCGCATTTGCATATTTTTACGTACTTACGTTTTTTGTAATTTTGAATCAGTTTTTCAGAAGTACGAAATATGTAGTGGGTGCGTACTTGCAATTGAACATAGTACAACGACAATTTTTAATACTTAGTTCTTCAAGAACATGACATTATAAATAATAATAAAGTATGACAGTGAATAACAATGTCAAATGTTGTTAATGTTAACAAATTTGTTTTTTATTATAACATTTCAGAAACTCCCACATAAACGTATATTAACAATCTTTTATGATTCCTTCAAGTTACATAATTATTAGGTTGGAAATAAGGGGGCGTATTGAACGTCGAGGCGCGTACGCGCCAATTCGTCATAAACTGTAATAATTAAAATGTAGCATAAATGAACATTTTCTTGAAAAAGCTATTAGCCCTGGTTGTTTTATATAACATTTAATAGTATTTTATAAACACATTATATTTTACTATCTACTCTAAACCTGCAAATGTTGCTATATGATTGTACACCCAAATTTATAGCACACATGCCAAATTTTATGACAAGTTCTATACTTTAAAATATTTTTGTAACAAATTGAAAACATTATTGGACTTTCATGAGAAATTAATGTGTATAATTGTAAACAGGGGATTAGAAGTCCTAAAAACTTTTTTATTTGTTGGGACAAAGGTAGGTCCCTATTATTTATTCAAGCCAATCTTCCTGGGTAAGCATGAACTTACTGAAGTATAAGAAGATTAAATAGTATTTAGAGATTGCTGTTTGTTTTATTTATCATTCACAGTGTCCTTCTTTCTAGGAAGCCATTACTAATTATTATACAGCCACAATGATAATTGATTGGTATACACATAGAATTTTTCTTTAGCATTAAAAAATAAAAGTCAAAGCTCCTCAGAATATACACAATAAAATTATTATATATTATAATATATTAAACAGTCTATGTACGCTTGAATTTAACACTATTAATAAACGAATTTTTTTTACCGTGAATACAAATACACAATAACACAGGTACCTAAATTTAAAAGGTTTTTTTCAATACAATATTATGTATGATTATGATAGATCTTACATTGGATATGTAAAAAAACAAGTTGATGTTCCTTACTAAAATTATTTTCAACTAAATACCTATAATCTAAACGTTCTGTCGTGAAAAACGGAACAAAGCGCGTAATTTATTTTAATCAAAAAGTTCAATAAACATGTAGGAATCCATTTTAGCCTAAATGTGTATGTAAGAACTCGATTGCCAAAATAATGTTCGCGTATGATTGGTAATGCCTATATACGAGAATATTAAAACAATACTTGTATACGAGAATAGAATACCTCTTCCAAAGAGCTGATTGTCTGACGACATTGCGGCATACGCGAAACGAACGTCGAAGTCGTTGGTGAATTGTAATCCTCTCGGGTTTCCTCAATAAATTCACCAATGCCTATTACACCCGGCATGGTGACCACAATCACGAATCAACACCAAATTAAAAGTACTGCTGTCACATTCGTCAGTTGTAACACTTAATACGGTAAACGAACAATAAAATTATGAAATTTCAAACACATTGTCAGGTAATTCCCTTCTGCGCAAATAAAAACAATTTCGCATCTAACCACTGCAACTCAAAACACACCCATTTCATCAGGGATGAATGAAATGACTGTTTTACAAAGAACGAATTACAAAAAATGAGTGAGACGAGACTGGATGTGAATTCATTGAATGAATGAATTACTCAACTAAAATAAAATACCGAATGAGACCATTGAGTCTTGTATTAGTAGTTTGTGGAATGAGACTACGGTTAGTATTCCAGAACTCTACTCAATGCTCAAGTCAGGATTTGAGCAGACTTGAGTATGATTTCAAGCACTGGAAATACGACCCTAATGGCAATGACTCGAGTATGATTTTCAGTGCTCACTGCAATACTCAAGTCCTGACTTGAGCATTGAGTAGAGTTCTGGAATACGACCCTAAGTCTACACGTTCGGTTAGGCTTAGGTAACTGTTGGAAATTTTCCAAAAAATTTCAAATACTTCGTACTATGTCCGGATTTTTCTTCCTTTACCTTTTGAAATTTGATTTAGTGTGAATTATAAAATAATATTGTATTAAATCTTAAAAAGATTGGACAACAGCGAATGATCACAGGTAAAGAAAATATTTATAATGGCTACATAGTTTTCGTTCAGTATCTTCACTTCAATTGTTGAAAGGTGTCAAATGGGGGAAAAATATTTTTCTCAAAATGGAATTTTTTTTTGATCCAACACTAGTTTTAACCCACTGGACATCTCTGGCAGCACTAGCACGGTAGAAGCATTTTTTTATTAATCTAAATATTACATAGAGGATGAAAACAACAAAGGAAATATTATGCTTTGAGATCATTGACTTATAAATAAATTTGAGATTAATAACGTTACATGAGTAAGGACAATCATTCTACAGCTGTCAAAAAAAATGAATGTATAGACTAATACGAATGAATGATACAATACAATGACGGAGCTGTCACGAGGTTGGTGTCCTATTTTCGATTTGAGGAAATTTATAAATTTGTTAAAATTGTTGTATTTTCATATAAAAGATTTAATGAAGTCTGTACGCATTTTTTTTGTTTTATTACGTAGACATTTGACATTTAAAACTTGTGTGTGAATTGAGTCGATTTAGAAATATCTAATCTACACTGAAATATTCATTAATCTTTATCTTTAATTCCAGAAATCGGGGAAGTTTGGTCGAGACTGTTCGATCATCGTCCCTTTCTTAATGGCGAGATAAAGTTTATGGAAAAAGAATTCGAGGTACGTATGTATCCTAAAACTAGCAACTCACTTCCACGCAGACTTTTTCATAATCTGATTGACTCTAGACGTTGTGTGCATTTAAATACTTAGAAAGTAGTAATTAAATACCTATTTAAATACTTAGAAAGTAGTAATTAGATACCTACACACCGTACCTTCTAAAGAAAAGTACTCGTTTAACTAAATAAAATTATCTTTCAAAGGAAAAGCGGGGTGACAGAGAAGTAGAAAATCTGTTCTCAATATTAGAAAAATTTACTGATATCAAGGATACCCAAGTAGATCACATAAAGAAGAGTGCAGGAACTGGAATACCAGTGCTAAATGAGAAGTTGACACAGTTACAGCTACTCTGTATAAACTCTGATAAGGAATACCTTGAATTTCATGAGGTAATATTTAGGAAATTAAGTTATTAATATATAAGTCAATTGTTACATATGACAGATGTGCCTAATGGTTAAGCTATTTACGATTCTGGTATTTAAATATTATATTTAAATAAAATAAGTATTATATATTTAAATCCCTAAAAATTCCTGCATTTTAATCAGATTTTGTTTATGTTTCAGATTTGTAAGCAAAAAAGAGCTGAAAATCAAGAAAAGAGGCGACAGGAATGGGATCAGTTCATTGATGATATGAACTTTAAATGCAAGAGAATTGAAAATACATTTGAAGAAAAAGAAGAGGAACTGAGAGACTTGTATGCTGACTTAAACCATAAACTGAATATTGCTAACAATTAAACAATGGATCTGAAAGGATCACTTGTTGATACCAAACTTAAAATATTCCCATCTGACATTTTAAAACAGTTTCTAAAAAATGTAAATGGTGATGACATTCCTACCAACATATCGAGGTTTACAAAAAATAAAAATAAAACAGATATTGAAACTGAGATATCAGACCAAATACAGTTAAACAACAAAGATTTTGAGAATTTAAATAAGATTAAGATTTTTGTGGAAAAGTTTGAAATTGACATAGCGGATGCGCCTAATAATACTTCTAATACTAAGTTTGATAAAGAGGAAGAGAAAAATTCCAAACCAATTTTAGAAGAAACTTCTGAAAATGAAATACAGGAAGGTGTATTACAATCCAGAGATGGTCCTTACCTACTTACTTCTGATTTAGATTGGTTGTTTTCTCACCTCCAGAAGAGAAGGACAAATGGTGAAGAAGACATTCCTTACTTGCATGTTCTTTTAGAGGGTTCCCACATTGAAACTCCACAAAATAAAATATTAAAGAGGAATCCAGATTTGGAAGCAAGATGTGTAAAACTGAGGGCTCAACAAGAAGCTAGAGAGTACAGGCAAATGACCAAGAGTGTTGACAATGTAAGAATGAGGTTTCCTGAAGATAGCATATCTTACCAATGTAAGTATTTATATAACAATATATATCTGTATAACAATGTAAGTATTCATATATGTAAGTATAAATATGTGCACTGTGTTTTGTTCCATTTTGTTTTTCCAGTGAAGCAAGTGAATCGTCAACTCATTGCTATTGGTCAGTTTATAATCTCAATCTTTGCTGGATTCTTATTTGGATTCAAAGGTGTGGAGTGGACAATAGGACCAGGATCACTAGATTTCGGATTTCGACTCCTTCTGGGCGTCATGTGCGCTCTAATTATTGCACTAGCCGAGATTTATTTTCTGGCTAAGAAACTAAATGAAGAATTAAATGTCCCCGAGTCTACGCAGCTTGGTGGACCTCCAAAGTTTGTTGATGAAAAAACATATGGATATGAAACCAAGACAGATTCAACTAAACCACACCAAGATTAATGTATGCTGTATTATTAAGTACAATTCCTTGTTGTAATTTATTTGTGTTTGCTTATTCTTTAATAAGATAATAAAACTTATATTGATACACTTTTGTATTTATTTCGTCATCTCGAGATTGACTCAGAATGAAAATGATATTCAACATTTGTAATCCAACGTGGCGCTACGAAAAGTAATGTAATGCAATGACCAATAATGACACGAATTTTCTTTCAATAGTTTTTATCGTTCGTCCCTCAGTTACAGTACAGAGTTGCCAATTATATATATATTATACTATATATTATTAATTATATATCTATGGGTATATCTTTTTAATTTGTGGTTGACTCTTTTGTGAGGTCATGGGATTGCCGAGCTCTTGTGGTGCGCTTTTTTCAATTCTTTTATAAAATCATGGTCAAATTCACATACTTTATTTTTCTTTTATCAATGCGCTAAGAAAAGTAATCTAATATCATATTAAGTATAATATAATAAGTCTTAAGCCACATGAGCGAGCATTTTTTAAATAATATTAAATGACGGGACGAACAGTCGTGCGCCTGATGGTAAGCTACACGCCTGTCCATAATAGTTGCAGTGCCACTCAGAGCTTTAAGTCGCAAAGATCTGAGGGGCACTGCCAATGCGCCCGCACACTTGGACATAAGTTGACAAGTCTCATGTGCCTGCAATTTCACCAGCACCCTTTACCCTTCAAAATCGGAACACAGTAATGCTGACATTACTGTTTGGCGGCAGAAATAGGTAATAGGCTTGTATAGTTCATGAACTACGAACTATTAGGAATATATTCCCGACACTGACCGATATGAACTAGTTCGTCTTGCACGGTTTTAATAGTTCATCGTTCTTTTTAGTTCAATACGAACTAGGAACTTTCTGCTTTAATAGTTCACCTGTCTTTTATTCAGTAGGAACGGTGCGAGCGGGACAAATAGCGATCTTTCACTACTCTTAGTACAAGTTCGAGTGGGATGCACTTGAATGTTGCCACCTCGTTCTAAGTCTGTAATACGTATCTCCATAATATGTATAAGCTTGCAAAAAAGTAAGTGCTCATATTTTTTTGTATCTGTATGTATAATGTCAACCTACATGTACGAGTATATGAAATAGTTGCACCTAAATGAGAATTTTTAAACACACCATTCTAACTAAAATACATTGTTGTTGAAAAAAAAGGGTATTTAGTTAGAATGACAGTCTTAAACCTGCAAAATATGACGGAAAATCAAATAGTACCGATTCCATACAAATTGTATTTTTAAATATTTAGTACAGTGTACTATTGACCTCATTATACTAGAAGTCCGTAGTAGTTCATGTGAATAAAATTACTAGTTTGGAGCGTTTGTTCAATGTCCGAGCAAAGACAACATGAACTTGACGAAATAACTAACTAAGGAACTAGATGAACTAAATGAACTAGAAGACCGGCTTAGTTCAGTTGACCGATTGAACTAACTAGGATCGCTCCCGCCGAGGACCGAGGTCTCATAGGTAAGATGACAGTACCACGGCCGTACTTCCCCTGAACGAAATCTTTCACAAGAAGCTCTACTGGTACTAAAAAGCATACAACGATGTTATTGTCTATGCCTGTAAGACGATATCTTTCTAATTTGTGGTGAGACGGTTACATTTTCACCATAATGTGTAATATTTCTACTCTTTGTAGGTAGAAATATGTGCTTTGTTTACCTAAGTTAAATTGTGTTGATGTATTTTGCTATAATAATACACTTGCGCAAAAGAAACAGGCTAGAAGAATTTTTTAAACTTTGCTTATAATTTTGTTAGATACATGAAATATAGGCTCAACTCACACTGGAGTCGAAGCGTCGCGTGTCGTGTCCTGTTTTTCAATTACAACGCCTGACGACGCACGACGACGCTCGCATTAGTGCGCCCGGATCACATTGTGGTCGGCGTCTGACGCCTCACTGCACCTAAGTAACGCGCGACGACGCGCATCTTAGCGCGAAGCCACTCGACTGCAACCAAGCGTCGTCTCTCCGTCGTCGTCGACTCCATATTTGCATAACACAAATTTGTACATTAATAACCAGGAAAATAGAGATGAATATGCTATAGGCGAAAAACATAACGCGTCGCAACGCTTCGACTCAGCGCCAGTGTGAGTTGAGTCATAGACAAAACACTCCGACCTACGACTCCGACTGATTGTAACGTGATTAGATATAATAAAATATCTGGCGCCAATATCTATCAAAATAAGCGACGAATGTCGACCATCTACACCATGACTTTTTGTTTTGTTGACGTTGACATTTGTGTTGCATTGCACAACGAAATACAATATTGTTTTCTCCATCATTCGATAGCGATGATTCACATGTTTTGAAAGTATATTTATAGTGAGACGCATTACGAAATCAACATACGGTGTTTATACGCTGCGCAAAGTGTGTGTCGCTCGTGCATTTAAAACAGTGTTTATTAATATTAAAATTGAAGCTTGCGGTAAGTTTCAGCTCTCTGTTTTAGATTATATTAAAAGTGTTGATATTTTACATGGTTTGAACAATGGACATCATATTAAAAAATTCCGTAATGTTATTTTACTCTCCTAGATAGAAACTAGGTACCTATATATGGAAGGAAAACAAAATGGCTCCGCATTGATTCTCTATAGAACTATATAATATGATAATGTACAAATTTGTAGAAACCAACATGGAGGATCAAGTACCTTTTAAAGTTTTTACGCACTGGATTGCCGGTCAGAAGACTGAAGTGCGTCGATTTGGTGTAGAGAAGACTCTCGTCACCAGCTTCGTGTATTTGAATGCTAAGCTCCAAGAGATCTTCCCTGGATTGAAGGAAAAAAGTTACTACGTGGCTTGGCAAGGTAAGCCGAAAAATCAATAATTAAAGAAGCTGAGTAACAGTTGTGAAATACAATTTCTAGGTACCATTACCACTAATAAGTTCATTGTAAAGGGTAATTCATAATGGGCTATATTGTCCTTGTAACTAATGTAATCTGCATTTCTGTGCGAAATTTTGTTATTATGGGTCTATTTCACTTAGGATGACTTCTGTGACATTTCCTATTTTTACATTGCACACATATTGTGTTTAAATAATCTGTCAACCAGGTCAAAAAGAAAAAGTGAATTTGTAATATTGTATCAAGAACAAAAAATATTTGTTGCAGTTGTAATTTTAGATAAAAATTAGAGTATAAAGATAGAAATCAATTACCCTGATTACTACATACTCTCTATGCATAAAACGGAATATTTTACCCATGGAGATTGACACCATAAAATTGATAAATCGAATCAACTATTGTGTACTTCTCTTCAATACAGTATGCATAATATGCATTCACCTTGTATTCGGGTCATTTTCTTTTGTTTCGAGATTTGCATGATGTTTTTAGAGAAATTGTTCAAAGTTTGTTGCATTGCAGTTTTATGCTTTGTTGTTGAGTTTTTATTTGTTGTGTAGTTTTTTTGGTAATTTAATAACATAATAATTGAATGCTCTCTAGTTTGTTTATTATTTGTTCTTAAATTATTTTCTTTATTTTAGATTCTCTCTTCATTACAAATTATCTCAATAAGATATTTAAATAAATTTTTATCATTCGATTTTACATCATCGCATCTCTAGAAACTTCCAAATCTTAAACATCACCAGAATCATGCTATAAATTTAATAACTTTAACTGAAACTTGAATGTTTGTTACAATATTTATTCTATATTCTTAAATAATTGTCTCCATTTTGTACTGTAGAAATGTAATATGAACACAAAGAAATATAAAAAAGAAAGTAATATTCCTTTTATAAACAGATGAAGAAGGAGATGATGTGACAATATCATCTGATGATGAGCTGATGACAGCTATCACATCAATGGGTAGCAGCCTCATCAAGTTGCACGTCCACATAAGGAAGCTAGAGATCCAAATTGAAGATGGTGGTCACTGCATTTTCTCTGCTACATTTCCAGATAATGCAACCGGTGCTGCTGGTAAGTTAAATAGCGACTACATTGGTATAAATGTATCTGAATTTATTTTCTTCTAGCATTTGACTTAAAGAGTATAAATCTAGTAGATTATACGGTTTTATAATTTTAAATATATTTTTTCATGTAAGGAAAACTGCTAGTATGTCGATAATTGAACAAATTGATTCATTCAATTAATTAATCAATTTCTAGTTGGCATTACTTAAGCTTTTAGAAAATATTACCATTGTAAAATTGTGATATTCCCTGAATACCTTCCGCAATAACAATTGTAGTGGCAATATATAGGAAATGTCAACATTTAAGATGCATATGCAATATATTTTAGCAGTAACTTCTTTGGAAAAAAAGATGCATAATAATCATTGGTTTTAGTGAAATTTTTTTAACTTTTTCACAAAAAATTCAAATTTGAAAACGAGTTATAAATATTGTGTTTTATTCTTATCAAGAGATGCTTCTATGAGTCATGTAAAAAATTGTTATATTTATACTAGCGTCCTGTGTTCCTCCAATCTGATGCCGCCGACTACACCGTTGTTGCTGGTTGGTTTATATATTTATGTATCAAGCTATGAGGGACCTTTGATTGATATTGGGCCACGACATCATCTTATTATTATTTAATGTATATAAAAACATTACAGTTTCGTAAGTTTGCAAAGCATGAACAAGTTTTTATTTCAAATCCTAAATTTTTACATCTTATCTATCATCTTATAATTAACTGCATCTGTGGCCAAACGGTTATTATGCTGGACTGCCACGCAGAGCTCCTGGGTTCGATTCCCAGGCTGGGAAAAATAGGTATGGCCTACATTTATTTCTCTCGTGAGTTTGAGTGTAACTTGTGGTGGTCTATGTGTGTCCATGGCACTCGCGATACATGGTTCCCTAGTGCGGGGTTATGAGTTTGTTGCGTTATTATTATCTTGTAATGATCTTTATACACAAAATTGTATGACTTGACTATATTTCCTCATATCCTGGTGACTCAGGCTTGGCTAAAACATAACTCATATTTAGATGTCCCTTTTTATTGTCGATGGGTATGATGAATTTTTTCAATGTACTGGGGGGATGATTTTTGTGGTACTGTTTCTGCAGTTAGGATTACATAGTCAAGGAAGTACATATTCTTTTGATAGCAAAAAATACATGTTCTTTTGAAGATACTGGCACCATGACCCATTTCGGAATATGCTGCGACGGGTGTAACAATGCAATCGTCGGGTTTCGCTACAAGTGCACTACGTGCGAAGACTTCGATTTGTGCGCCAAGTGCGAGAACGCCGGCATGCACCCTGAGCACTGCATGGTGCGTGTGCCGTCACCCACCTTACCCGTAAGTATCTAGTGAGAGCGTAAAATAGATAATGTACACCATGATTATTCTATTTGTTAATTATTTTATTTGTTGATGCAATTACATAAGCATTATCTCTCTTTCCCCTAGCGCACTGTGATCAAGGCTGCTATTAAGCGATCCCGTCAATTCTTGAAAACGGTTGTTCAATCTGTGCCCGAGGAATGCACTTTTAAGCGTCATAGACGCGAGCGCAGTGGCGAGAGGAAGCATCGTGGCGACCACGGACCGCACGGCTCGCATGATGACCATCCGCGCCCCGATCGTCACCACCGTCGTCCGCGTTCTAGTTGGCTCGAGACTTTTGCCACCTACATGAACGAGTTCGCGAACCTTGCTGGCGACATCGATATTGATTGTGGTAACAACCCTGCTACGCCTAACGCCAAGCAGGAACCAAAGGCACAGCAACAACAGCAAAATAAGCCTCAAGAACAGCAGAAGACAGCAGCGGAGAATGTTCAAGCTCGTGATCAACCCGAGCCAACTACCTCTACCACCAACATTGAGATGCCGACAAAATCCATCCCAAAGAACATTAATAATATCGTGAAACTCATTGAATTGTGTGCCATGAAGAGCACCATGGCTACACACGGCGCTGTCAGCAATGACGCCTCTGTTAACACCAATGATGTTGCAACCAACAATGCCTCAGTCAACACTAATGATGTCGCCACTATCAACGTTTCCGTCAACACTAATGATGTTGAGATGACCCAGGTTGATGAAAAGGCTTCAGATGCTGATGAAGTGAGCATCGATTCAGGGGCATCATCTTCCAGTGATGCCTCGAAGAGGGATGAATCTCCTGACAAAGCTGATGACTGGACTGTCATCAATAAGGAGAAAGGTTTGTTTCTTTGCAAGTTTAAGTATGTATAGTTTCGTTGACTAGGTAACGCAAAATAACATGTTTTTATTAAAAGAATATAAGAGTTATTACATTTGTCTGATATTCTTCCACTGGTAATAGGATTCTATGCCTATGCTGAACCTTCATGGCTAAGTGCCACCACACTGCTTATTTGTATTGGAAGGCAGCACTGCTGTATTCCAGATGGAATTGTAGAAAAAGCCATCTCAATCAAAGGCATAAGAAACCTAAAATATAATTTGCTATGGCTGTAAACGCATTTGCTATATTGAGGATACTTTAATATCGTAAATATCTATAGGTAGTAGTTACCACTTTTCATCACATGGACTCTATTAACTCGCTTAAATTATTCTAGATTTGATGGATGCCTACGTTAAGCAAGCCTCCCAAGACGAGGCACCGGCTCCAATTGGCTTCAATCTGCCTGAAAAGTTTCAAGAGCATGTAAAGATCACTGAGAGCCAGAGCCTGTATCCTCCGCTCCATGCTGCTTCTGCTGGTAAGCGTCAATGACATTCATTTGTTTTGTAACTGTGTTTCCACAAGAACAACATCGTTGTGTCTAATCGTTACTGATATTATTATGTCTCGAACTGTTGTAATGTTTGAAAATAACTTGTCTTTCAATTAACATTCAGTGTTGAATCCTAAAGAACGGATTCGCCGATATGAGGATTCGCAACCAACGGCGCCGCAGCCGACTACTCCGCAGGCTCCTCGCCCTCAACCACAACCGCAACCCCAACAGCAATCATCGCAGCAGCCGCTACCAAAACATAATCCGCAGCCACAAACACAAGGGGCCCAACCACGCCCGCCCCAACAACCCACCTACCCGCAGCCGCGCCACCCTAGTAAGTAGTATACGCAAAAAATGCATACTAATAAGGATTTACAACTGTGCCACTGTTTATCTTATTGTAGTGTCCAATGCATGTTTTTACACAAGAAGAATTATTATAAAGTCGCAAGATACAGAACTTTGTCCAAATTGTCGACATGAATCATATCCAGATAATAAAATTATCAAATACCTACTTTACGTTCCATGTGTAATGTTTTAACAAATGAAATTCATTTGTAATCATAATGATTCACAAAGTAGAAACAATTATAATTAAGTACAACTGTTCAAATGAAATTACCGTGTTAATTGAAAAACACCACGATTTCGTTTATAACTAAAATAAATGTCTTGTATTCTATAAATGGAAAGTTATAGAAGTTTACAGAATAGAAATATCTAACAGATCTATCTAGAAATAAATAACAAAACTAAAACAAAGAAACGAAAACTTAATTAAAATCTTTTTTATATAACTTACCAATCGCAGTATTTTTTTTTCCTTTGCTCTGAATTTCACAATTATTTGCAAGTACAAAAAGAAGAACAATCCTTTTTATATGCAGTACAGGTAAACGTGTAGTGTTTCCTTCGTTTCTAAATCATATTTTCAAATGACAGAGGCGCACATCCAAGCCGCAATCGAACACATGCTGGCCATGGGCTTCACCAACGATGGCGGCTGGCTAACTCAACTCCTCGAGAGCAAGAACGGCAACATCGCAGCTGTCCTCGACTTGCTTACCCCTGTTAATCCTCAGAGGCAGTAAACGCAAACTATAACACGGATAAGGATCATATTCACAAGAAATATTTACATTGTATTGTTAAAACTTTCATCACATATGATCCAAATATTTGCCATTTCAAAGGCCTATTTGTGTACTTTTGTCTGTGTAACGTAGTTGTCTTGTATAAATGAGAAAATCATTCTTGTTAGCTTGAGCTCAGCAAAATGTATGCTGCAGTATTCATAGAGTCAAGGGACTTATATTGTCCTTACGAGTTTTCTTTATGTTTCAAGTAGTAAATGTGTAACCAAATTTACTTATAATCAGCATATAATTATCATCTTAATAAAATTTTTAAATATGTATGGTAGTGGTTTAGGCATTAGATGGTCGTAGTTGTAAAGGAACGAAATAACGGTACAAGTTTTTGATTTTTTGGTGCTAATTTTAGATTTTGTTAAGAATATTTTGAACATATAATTTGTTCGTAGGATTTACTTCTTATTTAGAATTTAATTTAATTGAAACTGGTTCATTTTGGTTGATTTGACATTCCCGAGGCAATTATTTTTTGATTGTGATATTTATGTATATTTTTATTACGTTACTGTGTCTTATCTATTCATAACATGGCCTAGGATTTAATTATTAGATTTAATGTAGAGTCAGATTGAAGGAAAGTATTCAACGAATGTGATACGTGAGGACTGAGGGACAGATGGGTACAGATAGAATTAAAGTTTAGAAATATAAATGTAACCGATTCAGTTCAATAAAGGCTTATCGTGTAAATTAGCGTTTTAATGAAACCATGTGGTAAATATAAAATTTTATTTAAGGAATCCATAAGAATGTTTCTTTAATCCTACATGTTCTTCTCTTTCACGTAAAAGTGCTTTACCTAATGCTTCATCTAGAGCCCTCGCTGCGATTCTGAAAAGAGTAAACTGTTATTGCTAAACGAACTCTGGAGCTTCAACAAGTGACAAAGGTTGACATATAACTGATTGCCGAAATAGTTATGCAAGCTTTGACCTCTGTTTTTATCGTTGTAGATTTGTAGACTCTCCTCCTTAGAGGATGGAAAAATTAGTTTCCATAATCGAAGCTCTCCTCGCAGTGAAATCTGTCGAAATTCACCGTTAAATTTTTGAGTAAAAACGCGTGTGTTCCTCAACTTGACATAGGCGAAATCATCGATTACTTCGATGGGGCCATGACATTTTAGAAGAAGAACACCTCTGTTTTTGAGCGGGTTTTATTCCAGCGTCACCATTATCGAAAACTTGAATAGCTTGAATGCTTGTGATTTAGACTTTTTTGATCCGTAGTTTAACTGCCTCCGTGGCCGAACGGTGACCATGCCGGACTGCTACGCAGCGGTCCCAGGTTCGATTCCCGGGCCGGGAATTTTTTTTTGTATGGCCTACATTTATTTCTCTCGTGAGTTTGGGTGTAATTTGTGGTTGTCTATGTGTGTGTCCATGGCAACCGCGACACAGGGTTTCCCTAGTGCGGGGCTATGTTGAGTGTGTGCGTTGTTGTTATTATTATTATTATTATAAACAGTAGATATAATTTGGTCCGCCATTTTCAAGTCCACTAGAGTGGGTAGAAATTGTCCATTTCCCTAAGTATTTGACAGCGGTCGGACGTGCTTGTTGGTTTAAAATGGTAACTCTTGATTCTAGGGGACTCCGTTCACTCTTGGGGATTCACCAAAACTTACCTACGTCTTTTTCGCTCTTATTACATAAAGCTATGCTATAATATAAATGACTATGCGATTCCGTGCAAATGTTTGGTGAATTCCCGAATTCTAAGTTAGTGTGACCAGAGAGGTGGTTACGCGTTCAGTTTTATCTACTGAAAAAAAAAACCTGTCGTATGCGTCACGCTTTTTGATTCAATAATTTACAACGGACTATTTCATAAGTAAGGGCGTATTTCAGCGTGATCATAAATGAGTGTTTTAAATTTGACTAGTCAAATAAATAGTGGTCATTTAGTCAGTCCACCGTTTTAAACTTCTAAGGGCGTCTTAACGCTTACATTGGAGTAAGCCTATTCCAGCGGCACCTTTCTTAAATCTCGAGAACACAGCACCTAGTTTAGATGTGATGCACTAAAAAAGTCGTGATTTAGTTGTAAATATCAAGATTTAGTCGTTACGCCGTTTTAAAGTTATAAGGCTGTTTTATTGTCCACGCTGGAATAAGCTTATTCCGGCGGTACTATTTTTTAATCTTGAGAGTTGAACAGCTCATCGCTTAGATCCGATTACACACAGGAGAAGACATTTTGTTGTAGCTAAAATTTTTTAGACTGCGTCTTGTCTGCGGAATCCCTTAATATCATCGCATGATTTAGCCTGTTCTTAGAATTATGGCTTAACGAATTTGTTATGCGTAAAAATATTGGTTTTTCCTTTGAAAGATTCTTCAACTTACATTCCTTGATTGATAGCATCTTTCAAAGTCTTCGGCGCAAGACTGCCAGGTCCGTTCATACTTATAGTGCTACATTTACCCTCAACGTCTAGCACTTTCTCATTTGGTTTGGCATAGTATTTCGGATTGCCAGTCACGCCAACTACTAGAGAGATTACGCTACAACTTTCTTCTTCTGCCGATGGGTCAACTACACATTTGTCGCCTATCTTGCATAAAGTTACCTGAAACAGCAAGAACAATACACAACAAAAAATATTAAACAAAACATCGAAATTCAGTAATAATATATATATTTTACAATACCAAGTGACGGGACGAACAAGTCGTGCGCCTGGTGGAAAGCGACATACCAGTCTATAACAGTTGCAGTGCCACTTAGAGCTTTAAATCGCAAAGATGTTGGGAGCACTGCCACGTTACCCTGAGACATAAGTGGACAAGTCCCATGTGTCTGTAATTTCAGCAGCTGTTCATACAAGTTACAATAGAGTACAAGCGCGTTGGTGGCGCGCAATCGTTTTTTCGTCATTGAAATGCAATTAGTTGTACTATTTAGACGTTTCATTATTTGAATTCTTAAAATGTCCGTAAAATTACGAAGTGCTAAGCAAAGTATATTCTTAGTCGGCGCAGCAAACCATCAAATAACAGGTGCCAAACTACCGTACGCGGTGTTGTTTTTTAACATTCGTGAAGTTAAATTGTCTGTCAGTGCAAGCGCTAATCTAGTTATTCGCGAGTGCCTTATTTTCTGGGAAAAAGCAAGAATACCCACAAAATCACTTCCAAACTGTGTTAAGAAACTCGTGGATCTTTACTGTTTGGCGGAAACTTCAAAAAAATCCCACGAAATACACAAAAGGCGCACGGAGGAATTCCAAATGAGTTTGGATAATTTATTTGATATCGCACACGCTGATGCCCTCAAAATAATGAAAATAGAGGACGATATAACGTTCTTGCAAAAACAGAGGCAACCAAGCCGTCCGGGCTGCTTGGTTGGAGTAGACAAAAAATTAGCCGAGAGAGAAGAAAGGTCACGGCTACGCAAAATAGAGGAAGAGAGAAGAAAACCGACTGCATGTTCTTCATCATGTGGTTATCTACCCGTACAAGAAGTTGAAAATAGTCCATGCAGTTCTGATGAAGCACCTTTACCGGAGACATCAACCGCTGCTGTAGCGATGGTTCAGTTAGGAAAACGAGGGAGAAAGGATTTTATTTCACCAAAACTAGTCGCAGCGTTAGATAGTTGCCAGTTAAGTGTTAGAGACTCCGTTTATATTCTTCAAACCACTGTAGAAGTGTTAGGTCTCAGCATAGACAAATACCCAATAAATAAATCGTAAATTCAAAGGGTTCGATCTCACATGAGGAAGGAAAGGGCACTAGCGATAAAGGCGGATTTTGAAGATCATTTGTCCGAAGTAGTAACTATTCACTGGGACGGGAAACTGTTACCTGGATTAAATGTCAGGACTTTTAAAGAAGAGAGGTTACCAGTGCTGATTTCTTTCAATGATAAAGAACAACACCTTGCTGTGCCAAAACTGGATAGCTCTTCTGGCAAAGATCAAGCCAACGCAATTTTAAATGCATTTAGTGATTGGAACTTGAATGACCAGGTGCAAATAATGTGTTGCGACACTACAGCCTCTAATACTGGCCGTTTTAGTGGAGCATGCGCTCTGTTATAACAAAAGCTAAAAAGAGATCTGTTATTGTTTGCTTGTCGCCAACATATTTATGAACTTGTTTTGAAACGTGTGTTTGAAGCAAAAATACCCCCAATACTAAAAGCCCTGATATTCCGCTATTTAAAAAACTCAGATAATTGGATTAATATTGACTGTACTAACATTCAATCTTATCTCGAATTTGTGAAACAACATATTAATGACGTAGAAATCGCTCAATTAGTGATGTTTTATAAGCATAAACTACGAGAGCCCATTGTGAGAGATGACTACCGCGAACTGATCGAGTTATCCATCAAAGTTTTGGGTGGTGATGAGGATAAAAACCTAAAAATAAGACCTCCTGGTGCTATGCATCAAGCGCGGTGGATGGCCAGAGCTATTTACTCTTTGAAAATATGTTTATTGCAGTCTCAAGTTAAAATGAAAGCGAAGGAAAAGCTAGCTCTAAGAGACATTTGCTTATTTATTGTAACTGCTTAAGTCAAACCCTAGCTTGAGTGCAGTTTGGCAGATAAAGCACCTCATCAAAATTTGTGCCTTTTGAAAATATTGAAGAGTTTCGAAAAAATTGATTCAGTTATTTCTCAAGCAACTTTAAACAAGTTTTGCCAACACTTGTGGTATTTGTTAGAAGAAATAGCAATATTATCGATTTTTGATGATTCGGTAGATGATGAAACCAAGAAGCGAATTGTGACTAATTTAGAAGGGAAAAGTTCATGCCATCTACAAAGGAGATACATTCCATCTAAAGAAGAAATATCGAGATTTTTATATGGTACGAAGATCATCTGTTCTATTAATGTATTATTCGATCTATGTATGGCGTTGACCTACCAAATAGGTTAATGATGTATGGATTGTGATAATATTTTACTATTTCTAATTTACTGCATATATTGTTCTAGATAAAACTTTGGATCAGTTTGTTTCTACCTCAAGCAAGCATATATTTTCAAGATTAAAGATTGAAACCAGTTTTCTTGAAGATGACGTCTCATCATGGAAAGAAAATGCTGTATTCATGGAGGCAAAAAGAAAAGTTAACTCTCTTAAAGCTGTCAACGACGCTGCAGAAAGAGCTGTGAAACTCATTCAAGATGTTCATGGCAAAATAACAGCTAATGAAGAACAGAAGCAATTCCTTTTGCGCTGTGTTCAGGAGCACAGAACACTGTATCCTGATTGTAAAAAGAAGACGCTAAAAAGAACATACCCTACTTAACTTTTCTAAGCTTCTAATTTTTATTTTGTTTTAAATATACTTTGGAATTATTCATAAAATATTTTTGTTTTGATTTTTTTCCTAAGAGTAACAAAATATGTTGAACTACCATCATTTAGATATGATAGCTAGTACAGGTAAATTTCTCATATTTTGAAAAACTTTGCAGCCTCGTCGGCACGTGTTAAAATTGTAGTACAGGGTTCAAATTTCGTTTCTGAATTGGTTATTGTGACTATAAAAAAGTTGAAGGGTATGCATTAGTAACCTCGAATGTCATCGTCACCTTAAATGTCAAAAAGACCCAGTACATCTGCTTTCACAAGACCTCGGCGACGGCTCCATTATCACTACCTGCGATTAAAGCGCACACATGCCGTGGAGATGGAACAGCTTGCTCCTGCGAAACCCTAAACAGAACAGATACTGTTAAATACCTTGGTGTTCTTCTCGACGATATGCTTAAATTTGATCGCCACTTAGCTTTCCTGTCCGGCCGAGTAAGAAAAACCGCAAACATATTAAGAATGCTCCGGGATGCCGCTTCGCCGGCAGTGTTAAAGATGACATATTACGCCCTCTGCCAGTCACTCCTTACATACTGTATCTCAAGCTGGGGTGGAGCAGCAAAAGCGCGCATACTACAAGTGGAGAGAGCTCAACGATCTGTTCTTAAAACTATGCTGAAAAAGCCCCGACGTTACCCGACCGCAGTTCTATACCGGGAGGCTGGTGTTCTTAGCGTTCGCAAGCTCTTCGCTCTTAAAATGACAGTGAATGCCCACAGACAAGTTCTTCGATCGAGTAATTACAGTACTTTGATCACAAAACGTGTATTTCGTGTCCAACTCCCTGCCATACACAGTTCCTTCGCTAGGCGCTTTCACCCTTACCTATCCGCATTCCTGTATAACAACGTCCTCAGATCCTGTGACATAAAACTCTGCTCAGTATTCGAAGCAAAACGTATAGTACAGAACTGGTTGTTTAGTTTATCGTATGATTTTGTTGAAAACTTAATTAATTGTATGTCATAGCAGCATCTCATCTTATTTATTTTATTAATTTATAACTTTATTTAAATGCTATAATAATTCTTAAATTGTACACCTACTTATCATAATCTTATATCTATTTCTGTTGTTTTTTAGAGGCTATAATCTTCTAAGAAAATCGTATGTATGGGACCCCACGATTCAGGCTTGCCTAGTGTGGGGACCATGGTAAATTTAAAATTTGTAAACATTTTCGGTCAAATAAATTTTATTTTATTTTATTATTATTTATATAACACATTATATACATATATATATAACACATTATATATATATGTGTGTGTGTGTGTGTTTGTGTATATATATATTCTTAAAAAAAAAAAAAAAGTTAGTAAATACGGAAAAAAAATTTTTAAGGAAAGAAATAGGTAATATACCTATATTATAAAAAACTTGCAGTTACAAACACATGTAAAATTACGAAGGTACTTATGGTTAAACCAAATCGACGCATCTATATACTATTCGGCAATTCAATGAGTCAGTGCAATGGTACAGTCATCAAAATATCGATTTTATCTAACCTATATTCAGAGAGCTGTATATTTGCACCTGCACGAAAATTAAATTTTATTTAACATAAGGTTTCAAATGTTTTCTGTTTCATTCTTTTCACTTTAAATCATTGGCGTAAGGTTAATTTTAACAAATGTGAAGGGAGTTTGAGCACTCAGAATGTATAGATAACATACAGCACTTGTTTCTTGTGTATTATTATAGATTATATTTGTGTAGGACAATGAAATGTAATAAGTTAAAGTAAACACGTTGACATATGTTCGAATATATCCGTTGTGTTAAAAAAAATATGTAATCATGACACCGTTTTAAAAAAAGGTATATTTCAGAGAATAGATTTAAAAAAAATAAATTTCAGTAAGTCTGTATTTTTACCAGAACTACTTATAGCACATAAAACCAAATACTGTCGTAACTCAAAATTGCGGAATTGAGAAAACACAATTTGAAAATTTAAAAAAACAATGAATGGATCTTATTCTGAATTTTTATACTTACATAATACTTAATTATCCATTTATAAACGAGAATATATGCAGGATTATTTTTAAAATACTAACAACCTTGCAGGACTAGATTACTACCATCATAAACAATAAATAACTTTTGTGTGTGACTTTTGATAAAACATGATAAGTACTTATACAAAAATAAACTTTTTAGGTTTTTTTGTACTATCTGCCACTTTTTAGATCTGTATTTGATAATAGTAGTAAGTTCAAACGTGCAAGCGTACTTTTGATTGAAAGTAAAATTTGACGAATTATTAAAGTCATAGAACAAAAATGGTTGTTTATGATGTTAGTAATGCAGTCCTGTGAGGTTATTAGTACTTTACAAATAACCCTGTGCATTGGTTTTATTCAGTTCTGTTTTTAAATTTTCACATCATCTTTTTTCAATACCACAATTTGAGTTACAGTAGTATTTGGATATTTTGTGCGTTATATCTCCAAATTTCTACCTACCAAAAGTGGTGCAGTGCCAACCTCCAGCAGTTTACTATCATAAGGATCATCAGAGAGTTGCAGATCCACATTACCGCCATCCATGAGAGCCGCCTTAACGAATGGTATTCTTGTGTTGAATAATGCAGCTTTAACTGCCAGCGACACCGCATCGCACAAGTTTCCGCCACATTCTAGTATCTGAAAATAAGTACCATTTAAATTACACCATCGCATGATATAACAGTCATTAGCAATATTGTATACCAAACGCGAATGCACATAAAGAGATCTGCAATAAAAGTTGTCAGATGTTGAATTTGCCACCACTTATAATTCATCGTCTGTATTTCAAAATTACGAGCCCTGTTTGGAGCTTATTTAGTCAAGCCAATGGTCAGTAACAAAGTATAAGTAAATATGTAGTAAGTAACGTTTGGCGTAAATAAAAATCAATATAAAGAGCGCAATGAACATTCTTTAGAATTAAAATAGCAAATTCGGCCTTAGCTATTCCGCAGTCACTGGTAAGCCCAAAAAAGACGGCAGAGGATTTTGTTCTTGCTGAAAAGAATTCGTCGCAAGATGTAATTGCTGACTGATACTAGTGGAAAGATTACATAGGGCGCACTATAAGTTTCCGGAACAGGCCACTTGCATAAACAATATTTAAAAAGTAATTACAACATTTGAAAATGGAAATCTTTGGCTGTAGAATACAATTTCTTTCATCTGACTGTCACTTGTTTTTACATCGTAGCGTCTATTTAGAAATTTGTTGTCTACATCACCATGGATTTAACTCGTGAAAATTTTCGTAGTATGATTTTCTACGACTTAAGTGTAATTGAACAGCTCAGCGCAGCTTCGCTCGGCTTCAAAAAGCTTTTGGCGATGAAGCACGGTGCAAGACGACTATTTATAGCTTGTTTGCAGAATTCAAACGCGGTCGTGTGAATCTCAGTGACGAATTTTGTGATGGTCGCCTGTCCACTGCTGTGAACAACAAAAACATCGATGCTGTGTCCCGTATGATCAAAACAGACAGGCATGTGACATACCATGAGATTCGGGCACCTTTAGGCATAGGCATGAGTCAAATACAATCAATACTACACAAACATTTGGGTGTGAAAAAGCTGTGCTCTCGGTGGATCCCACACAATTTGACTGAGGCACAGAAAACGGATCGCGTGACTTGGTGCAATGCCATGCTTACCAGATTCAATGAAGGGGCGTCAAATTTGGTGTGGGACATAGTACTAGGTGACGAAACATGGATTTATAGTTACGATTCCAAAACAAAGCAGCAATCGAGCGTATGGGTCTTTCGAGATGAGCCGAAACCAACCAAAGCGACGCGCGTGCAAAGTGCCTCTAAGAGGATAATTGCTTCTTTTTTAATAAAACTGGACACGTGGCTACTGTTGCTTTGGAGAATCGTTGTACCGTGAATAGTGATTGGTACACCACCATTTGTTTGCCGGAAGTTATTGACAAACTCCGCAAAAATAACAGGAAACGCCGTATCATCTTGCACCACGATAATGCCAGTTCTCACACGGCCAGACAGATAAATAAATTTTTGAAGGTGAACAACGATGACCTTATGAACCATCCCGCGTACAGTCCCGACCTGGCACCTGGTGATTTTTATTTATTTCCAAAAATTAAGAACCAGTTACTCGGTCAACGATTTTCATCACCTGAAGACGCTGTCCAAGAGTATAACAAATATGTTTCAGAGATTGTCACGGAGGAGTGGCATAAATGTTTTCAAAATTGGTGGAATATTTGGAGAAACAATAAATTCATTTCTGACTATTTATAGTATTTTTTTTATTCATTCCGGAAACTTAAAGTGCGCCCCACGTATAAGCAGTGTTGCAAGGTTGTAAATACTATATTCAGCCTGCCGCACTTAAAATAGGCACGAAAAATACCACTTATTAACTTCAGTTATAATAAATAATATTGTACAATGAAACAAAAAAGGTAATTTAATTTTCAAGTTTATAATTAAATTTATGACATTTTAATGAAAAACATTATTGTTTATTTCACTTCAGTTTGATTAAATTTCAAAACATTAATTTTATTGTATGATATGCAAATAATAAATACTTGATTTTGTCCGAGTTTATTTATGACTAAATTACACAATAAGTACTTAACTTTCATTGGATTTATTACGTTTTTGACTGCTTAGAAAAATATGGCTATGGAGTGGAATTCCTTGCCTGATGACATATTTCCTGAACATGACCCCATAAATACTAGTTTTTGGTAACACGTGTATCAATTAATTCCTATGTTACATTTCCTTTGATCTTTTAAAACTTTTAACATAAATAAGCAAATAATTGTGCTTTCTCGAATTCAGCGTTAACATTAGTTACATGATAATTTACTGGTTTTTCTTCTTTCTTCCTCTTGCTTTTAGGTAAGCCGAATAGTGATTCAACATTCGGTTTTCGGTTAAATAGCAATAAACAGACCGAATAAGCAGAATACTGAATAGTATCCCAATATTGGTTGCAACTAAAAATAATAAAACTGAAACTAAATAACATATTAAAAAAACCGAATAGAGGCGGTTGGGGTTCGCTGATTCCGATATGTTAATAACTCAATTTCGCTAAAAATGTCGGTTACGTTAGTTACGGTATGGAGGGCAAAATTGTAATTTACATAGGTGTTTGTATCTTCGTTTAGGCCATTATCACACTGCTCCGCACCACGCAACGGCGTGTGGAGTTGCGTTCTTTAATGTTATACTGAAGTATCTCAGTTCAACGCGTCACCCTGCGGGAGTGCGGGGCGTATGAACCGTCGTCCCGAGCACTCCGCTGCGTGATGCGGTGCAGTATGATAGTCGCCTTAATCATTGTTACGGCAATATTTTTCTTTTTGTCGTAGTTATAATATTTAGCAAGAAAAAAACATTTTTAATGCAGTTGCTCAAAACGTGGTATTTTTCGTACTACAAATCGTGCCGAAAGTTGGATTTTTCGCACTAGTGCTTTTTACTTTACCATTTTTTTTAAATTTACTGTTGTTTCAAGTCTTAAACATAGAACTAAATAGGTTGTATATTTATTTAATATTCATGTGCTTTGTGACGTAAGTCATTGGTCATTAAAACTTATATTTACTTACAAACATCTTATATATAGGTGTTTTATATAACAACGGTTTACATTTAAAAATACCAAAATATTTTCCTTAAAGGTGGCTGATTGAGTATTAACAATGACCGGAGGTGAGTATTACGCGCGACCGCTGCGCGCCGCGCCACTAAAATAGTAATTTTAATGTAGCTGAATACTGGCAACAGTTGCCCATTGTACTCTGAATTTTTATCAGACAAAGAAATAAAATGAGTTTTTTTAAATACTGTTTTATTTTACTTTCAATGTAGTTTCTTCGCAAATGTATTATAAAACGTCTTTTGATACACGTGCGGATTTGTCATTTTCACTTGTCTCGAGTCTTGACCCTCGCCTTTGGCTCGAGGCAAGAAGCCTCGGGACTCGTAAATAATGACTAACTTTCCGCACTTGTATCAAAAATAACTATTGGAGACGCGCAGCTTGACCCACGAATTGTCTACCCTAGCTGGGGCTTTTGTCAGTTTTGGCGTTTGCAGGCCGTCGGTTACTGAGGTTAGGTACAAACAAAATATATTGCACAAATAAATACTGTTGGTTTTTTAGTACTATCAACTTCAACTTTTGTATCGTATATTACTCAATACTCAATATTTTATTGCAAAACCATAATATAAGAAAATACAACAAAGACCAAATATTATGGACCCCTTCGGGCACGCAATATAATGGAAAGGAGAGAGGAGCAAACCAGTAGATAGAAATGTACATGTTTTAATATGAAATTTAAATGCAAACAAAACATAAAATATATGTGTATGTAATAATAATTGTTATTTAATTTACTATATGTATATTATTTCATTTTACTTTTAAATATACACATATATATATATATATATATATCGATATATTGTATTTATATATTAATGTGTGTTTATTTGTTTAGCTTTTGTTCCCGTGTGTCAGTAATATATCATTTAAGTATTCATTAATACTATAATAACATTTTTGTAAGAGTAACTCTTTCAACTTTTTTGTAAATTGTATATCATTGCTTTCATTAATTAAGACATATATTGAAGTATGGCTCCGTCGTTTTGCGCGACGATTTCGCCAACGTCAGGGTTGAAAGATTATTATAATTTATTAAGGACTCGGCGGTGGCGGTGGTGAGATAAATTGCCGGTTATTAAAATATTTAAGCGGTTATTATGCAAATTGAACATTATATATTTTTTTAAGACGTTAGAAAAATATAATTTGAAGGCATATGTTATTTTCTTTCTTTTCGAAAAATTTTATGAAGTTTTATTTAGTATCGAGTTCTTAGGTTTTCGCGATTGTTACACATAGGAAATGAACTATTTTTCCGGATTTAAACCGCGTATATTTGTTTTTTCAAACAAACCAACGTTTCGGGTCCTTTACAGGTCCCATGGTCACGGTTGACTGAGGTGGTACAGTCTTCAACCAGTTATGTCTAATATTGATGCAAACCACCGTAGTCTCCGAGCATGTCATGGATAAAACTACACATTCAATGAAGTTCGACAAACCCCAGGTCCTTGTAAAAGAAGTCCATTATCTACCCAGGATGCTGCGAGAGGCCATTGAAATTAAAAAACATCCTAATTTCAACAGGGAAGATGGTTTCTCAGTACCACCAGTTTGGGATCCAGTATTTCCTCTAATGAAAAATCCCAAACAGACATAAGACTGCAGTACTAATTAATATGTTTTAGTTTATTCTAATTTCTATTATTAATTAATAATAAATTGAACTTAATAAAAATTCATTCAATAAAATAATTTGTAAAACTTAATGTAGCGTAAATTGGAATGTTTTCTTTGTAAAATTAAAAATAAGGTATTTAATTAATAACTATTGTAACTATAGTGAAAAAATAGGTTGGTTTGCATCAATATTAGACATAACTGGTTGAAGATTGTACCACCTCAGTCAACTGTGACCATGGGACCTGTAAAGGGCCCGAAACGTTGGTTTGTTTGAAAAAACAAATATACGCTATTTAAATCCGGAAAAATAGCTTCGTTTTTTATTTAGTATTTTCGTTCAGTAACATCAACTTTTGACCGGTGTCAACGTCAAATGCGGAAAATTATCATGGAGGATGGAAAAAGAAATAAAATTATACATTATAGTACATTAAAAACTAACCAAAATATCAATGTAAAGTTTCCAGCATTGTTTTCCCTCCAATATACACAGCTGTTTTAGTTTAAAAGCCTGTGAAGTGTGGTACGCCCTCAGCATCATGTTTGATATGGTGTTGGCTAATTGTTCACCTCCGCGGCCTTCAAATTCAGGAGTAGCATTTGCTGAACTGAAAAAAAAAGGAAAAATATGTGTGGGAAATATTAAAATTATCATTAAGTCAACTAGTATTCCATAAAATTGTTTTTTATAAAAAATTAGAAAAACAAATTATCTTCAATACAATACTCAAAATATTTAGATATTTTGCTTCATATTAAATGGCAGCAAATGTTTATTAAGAATTTTGAATAATTGTTTTAAAATAAAAGTAAATAACAGTTATAGCACCACAGCTGAGCATCTCCTCTCACAATGGGAGGGTTTGGTCTGTACTTTACACGTGGGCCTAATGCAGATTGGGAAGTGTGCAGGTTTCTTCATGGTGTTTTCCTTCATCGAAAAGCTCATGGTATTAGTATGGTATAGTAAAGCTCATGGTAAATTTCAAATTAAATTTAGCTCATGAATTCTGAAAAATTCAGAGGTGCAAGCCTGCTTGAGAGCTGTTAGATCGAACAATTAGGACATCACAGCTATTATAAATAACTAAGATAGAAATTCATAATTTCACTATTTTTCCCATGACCATAATGAGTGTTTTAGTCCATTCTAGCCAGTTAATTTAGAAAAAGCTAGTTGAAAAATGTTGTTTACATCCCACAAAAATTTTGTTAAATATGAGCAAAGCTTTGCCTTACCAGTCAACAAAGAATTCAATTTTTCCTAATTCCGGGCAATCTGGATTGGGTATATCTATCTCAGTTTTTATTCCGACAAGTATGTCAGTATTGGCTAATCTGAGTCTGGCAGAACTACTTGCGTGACTGACAACATCTGTCTCCAGTTCCATGGGTCTGTAGTCGATGTTTGATCTGCCATCTGAACGGTAATCTTCCTGAGAAAGAATTTAAAGAGTGTATAAAGTATATTGTCATAGTAAACAGCAGATATTAAAAATTGAGGTTTGATAATGCACACACTGGCACAATTACTGGAACAAAAAAGTGGGAATATCAAATACTAGTGTTTATACTTAAAAAAAATTGTAATTTGACATAAAGTAGCAATTTAATAAATCTTTTAAAGCCAATTTAGTACATCCTTCAGTGCTTCATCAAACTTTATTGAAATATATAGGAATTAAATAAATTCTTCTTTTAGACTTTGTGAGTTAAATTTGCAGTTGTTTCCACTCGGGTGCAAAGATTCTGGGGGTGTAGGAAAATTTAAAAACTCAACAGTTTAACATTAAATCAATAAAAACCCTTTTTAACTAAAGTTTACGAAATTTATAAGATTTTGGTATCTTTGAAGTTGGCCTCAAAACTGTTTAAGTAGGAAATTAAAACAATTGAATGAAAAATTACAGTTGGCTAATATGCTTTTTCAAATTAGAAATAAAAAAGTGAAATACAGACGCCCAGACTAGAAAAAGCACTCCCCTGTTTTGGGGATTTATTAGTGGCCCGTTAGATGAGCCGGTGTGTGTATAACGTTTAATTATGTTTGTTTACTAAAAAAGACGTTAATGAAAGGAATTTCGTAGTAGTCACTTTTACAGTTGAGTTAGTTGCATACTTGAGAGGTTATACTCACGTGAATTCCATGCACTATAAACACTTTTTCTGTTGGACTTAAAAGAAGTCCAGCCATTATGTTAAAAATTAATAGACTAAATAATTAAGAAACTGACAAATCAGTAGTTGTTTGGGAAAAAGTGTTGTTGGTAGTCTGTTCACAAATTAGAAGTACTGTTTTATGGTAAAACTTAAAAGTGTAAAAGAAACAGAAAGAACATTAGAACAATAATAATTAATAAGTTTAAAGTTTCATCGTTTCAGTTTCACCACGCAGTAAACACTATAAACACTTTATTCGTGTCTTTTTTTGTTGTTTTGGCTTCTGCCCCTTAGAGTTGTATTAGTAGTTTGTGCCTTAGAGGATGGAAAAAAAATAAAGGAATAGTCTGTTTTTACCTTAGACTATGGAAACTAAAGGACATGTTACGTTGACATATATAAATCAGACGTTATATGTATATGATGCATTTCGACGTCGAAAACATAAACATATTATTGTCTTTGTTTAACTATTACGTGCCGTCTTAAGCCAAAAGAGATAGCATTACATTGGTCTGTGTCAAACACGGGAATCGAAAATTCGTAACGTCATTTTAAATGCCAACCGTGGCCATTTCAAGTACATGAGGTACATGATACCGTTGTCAAAGGGAAGTACATCAAATGTCAAAACAAATGTTTTCCCAAATGTATTATTGAATTATTCACATGTACTATAATTAAATTGGACAAAAATATTGACAGTGAGAATAATTAGGTATTAATAAAAATGCGACGCTGCAGCATTAAAGGATGCGGCTTTAGAAAAACTGCAAATCAATCGAATGTTACTTATTATGTTATTTATTTATTATGTTATTATGTTATTTATTTTTTTTTCTCAGGGTCGTATTCCAGAACTCTACTCAATGCTCAAGTCAGGACTAGAGTATGGTGTTAAACACTGGAAATACGACCCTAATGGCAAGGACTTGAGTATGATTTCCAGTGCTTCAAATCATACTCAAGTCATGACTTGAGTATTGCAGTGAGCACTGAAAATCATACTCAAGTCCTTGCCATTAGGGTCGTATTTCCAGTGCTTGAAATCATACTCAAGTCTGCTCAAGTCCTGACTTGAGCCTTGAGTAGAGTTCTGGAATACGACCCTCAATCGTCAGTATTTCAGTAAGAGCCGTGTAAAATCTTTAGGTTAAAATATGAATTATCCAGGAATTTGCAGTAGTTCATGTCTAAAGTAGGAACACCTCTATTCAATAATAAAGATATATGGCGAAAACGGCTGTTTGTCAATAACGTTATGTTATATTATGTGATTTTTAAATTATTGCAACACCACGGAATCATTGTTGTGTTATTAACATTGACTTACAAATAAATGGACGACGGGTCTAATACAAAAACCACGAAAAAAATGTCCCAAGTCAACCTATTCGAAATTTAAATTGTAATGTCATCGCAGTATCGCGCTGTCAGTCGAACAAATGAAGACTAAAGCGGAGTTTGGCGCTCTGTATACGATTTTAGCGCCTTACAAGTGCGGACACTTTTTAGCGCGGACCCGACGTCCATATAATTGTAAGTCAATGGTTATTAATAATTATATTTTGAGGTCAATAGCGGATAATGACGTTAACAAAACGCAATGAAATAAAATCTGCTATGCTACTGTACATCATAAAGGTTTTATTGGTTTTGACTGCAACCATTAACTAATAAACCAAAACAAAATGGCTGTTTAAATTGAATGATATTGTGCACTGAAAGATTATTATAGCATGATTTGTAAATCGTTGCATCGCATCGTCCAATAATTTAACTAGCGTTAGCGCAATTTCTCTCTGGCTATTGTATGCTTGCTTGTACGCGAGACGCAATCGCAACAGCAGAATAGCAATCAACCTGCAGTTTAGACAGTAAATCGACGATTAATTATAATTATACATGCGTAAGAATGATGCATTACCAATTACATTATCTGCTATTGTAATAATGACCACTATGTATGTAATAGAGGTGTGCTCTGTGTGCTGTAATAGAAGTTGGTTCTGTGGCGGGAATTTTGAAGCGGGTGTCTCATAGTTGATAAAAGTTTACTGTTGTTTTTCCGTGAATAACTTGAAATATTTGTTTCAATATTCGGTAATGGCTGTTATATTTTAAATTACAGTATTGTGTAAATATATTTCTATCTTTTTTTTATTAGCAGTCTCATGAACATAGAATCTTTGAGTTTATTTTACTTTTAACATGGTCTCATGGTAAATTACAATTTCAAAACATGCGTTACGGTGAAAATGCACTTTGCTTCACATAAACTCCATCATTGCCAAAGAATAAAACAAAAATGACATTGGCATATTAAGTGGGCGCTGGTACTTAGTTCCCGATTCGCCGCTAGCCATTGAGGGGGATCTCGCAACATCCTCTTTTAAATTGCGAGTTATCGTAATTGTTTCATTGTACCAGATTGAGGTAGTCTGCGCCATTTGAGCGTTGGGTGTCTTCCAGATATGATATCTATTTAAATCAAAATAACTTACCGTAACTAGATACCACAAAATGGGTGAAAATGTTAATGAAATCGTGCATGAGATGCAAAGATTCTCATGGGTCGATTATGTGGTATTCGTGTTTATGTTAGCTGTAAGCGCCGTGGTGGGGGTGTATTGGGGATTTATGAAGAAGCAGACGACTCAAAGTGACTATTTATTAGGAGGCCGAAACATGAAAGTTGTTCCGGTTGCTATGTCCCTGGTAGCTAGGTGAGTTCAGCGTAACTTTAGTTGCCAACTTAAACGGTACATAATATGCAAGATATGTAATTAAATGTATGATAATATTTCAGTTTTGTCTCAGGAATAACATTACTAGGATCTCCTACAGAAGTTTATATGTACGGTACTCAGTATGCATTTATAATTGGAGGAATTTTTCTAATGTCTTTCGTGATGACTCAAATCTATTTACCTGTTTTCCATGAGCTTAAAATAACTTCCAATTATGAGGTAAGTTGTTTCTTGTTAAAAGAATTCTTATTCCCGTAATTTAACATTTAATTATTAATAATTAATAATTTCGCTTTGTAGGTATGAGATCAAACAGTTTTCATTGTAATGTTTACTATAAAAACTTGTTTCATTTTTATTTGAGAGTTATATGTACTAGCCATTATCTGGTCATTATTATATTTTCGTTTTGGTTTACATTCAACAACACTATTTTGTTCTGAGAAATTTTAGACAGTGTTATAAAAATATTTTACAATTTTATTCCACAAATAAAAAAAAATCCCATTTGTCCCAAAGTTCCAGGACACCCTTACCGTTACCATGCGATACCTTGGAACTTGGGATACTTGGAGTCGACATCACGGACGAATCAGTTCCTGGGTTATTTGAGAGCAAATCCAAACTGGCTTCAAAAGGCTCGGAGTGTCCAATTGAGTGGAGCGTTATATCACCAATTTTTATTGTAAAAAGAACAGATTCGACACCATAGGATTGCTCGTACTCTGGCCCAGAGTTCCCAAATACCAGCTTGATGCACTTGACTTCATTCAATGTCTGTCTGTTTATACTTGTAGTCGATGATCCCAAACTTACAGATGGTTTGGAGTCCTTTAATATACGGAAAGACGTTGGCTCTTTTTGTGTGTTCTATACTGTCTTTATAGTGGGGAGTGCCTACAGGAACTTGTCGAACTGGTGCCACCTTCACTTTTCCACATCGAACCTCCGTGCTAGGAGTAGAGCCAATCCCCACATCATTGATGCCTAGCATTGTAACACAATGCGGTTATGACGTCCGTTCCTTTCTCGAACTCGCAAGATGTGGAATATGGTCTCCCTCCTGAAGTATTTCCTGTGCGCTATGATATGAGGTTCTAAGTGCCACGCGTGTCAATAGGGCTTTCAAAGGCTGGCATGCAAAGGCAGCTCATCTGATGTTGCAGATGTCGACGATGGGCGACGATGACCACCACACATCAAGTGGCTCGTATGCTCGTTTGCCTCCTACTTTATATAAAAAAGATTATATTAAATGTTTCTTGAGAAACTCTTTGGTTAACAGTTTAAGAAAGTTTTTGCAGTGATTTTGTGATATTGTGAATTATATTGCACCACGTCTATTTTTTCTTTCTTTCAGTACTTATCATTAAGATTCGACAACAGGTTGCGGTTATTCGGTTCCATCCTGTTCACAATTACTCTGGTGAGTCAACTAGAGTGGTGAGGAAATTTGTAATTCAGTGTAAATGTTATATCTAATACTTTGTTCTGCAAGTATAGGTACGTCGCAGAAAGTGTGAGACTAAGTCATCAAGTCCCCTATTTTATAATAATAAAGCTTAAGTAAATTAATTATTAACTCTACTGTTATAACGAGTTTAATAAAAATTAGGAATTTTAAGTTAGCTGATTTTAATACTATACTGCTATACAACATATGTCCAATTACAACTTATTCATTATATGGATTTTGTTGGTCTTGTGTCAGTTCAGTGAATGCGATAAACAACGATAAGTAAGATTTAAGAAATTAAGATTAAAAAATTTCAAGAAATTAAAATCTGTAGACTTGCGTTTTTGGCCGGCTGCCATAAACATAAGAACACGAAAATATTGGAATGCGGTCTGTACAGTATCTACTTTAGCCACTAAAACAAAGTAATATTTAGTTACCTAAATACCTACACGTTAATGCCTACATTATTGAACAAATATATAGTGATTTCTATATCAGTCATATCTAATATCAGTCATAATCTACCTAGAAAGGTACCCTATACTGTGATTAGATACATGCAAAATCGATTGACTGTAAATATATGATATTTTAATATTTTATAGGGAAATAAATTACTTGTTAGAGAAGGTTTTATTTGTTAATATGTCTAATTTATTAACACATCTGATATGTGTGTAGTTAATAAATTAGATATATTAATCTATGCTAAATTCGCTCGTCTTTCAGATAGGTTGGCTGCCGATCGTCATTTATGTACCTGCACTAGCTTTCAATCAAGGTAGAGTACTATTTTCTGATGACCAAGCTGCGGAGTTATTGGAGTTGTAAGGGAGTTGACGATATGGTATTGTTAATCTATTTCATTGTAATTTATTATTGGACATCACTATTTTCTGGTATAAGTATATTATTTGGAATGTAATTGACGAGATGAAAAAAGAAATAGATTGTAAATTCGCATGTTACTGTAGAGCTGTGCGTAATATTGAGTGTGTGCGTTAAGCTTGGACTTTAAAAAATAGTGTTGTAGTAAGTAATAATTTAACGGAATTTATTTTATTTTTCAATACTGGCCTCTATGCTTTGTGAAATGATTAGAGACACGAGTATAAATACATACGTAATTGGATATCATCAATAGCGCAATGGTCGATATCTTTTGACTTTATTCTTATTATAAACGGGTTAAAGAATTTAAGTCTTATGTCTATAGGGCGACGTGTGACGTCCCTACTTTACACTCGTTATAGTAACTTGCTTCAGTTAAGTCAGTTTTGGAGAATTCAAGGTTCATTTGGGTGTCTTAAATATAATCTAAACTTGAACCAATATTAAAATATTGCCTTTTCTGTGTGAAAGCGGCTGTCAGTGCCTCTAAAGGTGGGTCCACATTTGTGACATTTCAATGCACCGAGACTCCGTGATATATCATAGGTACTTGCTACGTAAATGTGGACGGACCGCAACAATTTCAATTGTATGCGACGTAATTTTGCAATAGAATGCTGATTTCACGCAAAAGTAACTGATTATTTTAAATACATATTCATTTTTTCGGGTTGTTACAAACTGGGCAACACCTTGGGCCTGACTTATCGTTGACTTTTGGAACACCATGTATGTTATATTATAATTATCTACTCTACTCGTTTATTATATTTGCAGTGACTGGTATTGATATACACGTTATTACGCCTGTTGTGTGTCTGGTCTGCATATTTTATACGAGTGCTGTGAGTATACCTCAGCTTTTAAGCATAAAATATGTTGCGTAAGCAAGATTGCAACAGTTATTTTGGCCTTCCTTAGCCGTGGTCTACCGGTTTAGTTCACCGGGTGCAGCTTAGTAAAAACCCGTGCCCCATTAAGGTGGGCTTAGGTGGACAATACATGAGTATGAACCGCATAAGTCCGCCCTTTTACTTTGATTACGACTATATAAATTTAATTAAAATAAGAAATGCAATTATGATATTCCTATATATTGGTGATGGATGTGTAGTTTTAAATTTAAAGAGATTATTGCACTACACTAAGTTATCATTATGGCAGCGTATCTAGAGAAATCATTTCAAAATTTTCCTTTCCCTGGGAATAAAGCTTTCTCAACATGAAAATTCCTAAGAAGTTCCTTCTTAATAAAAAGGACTACTTAACATTTAAAAACAAAAATTACGCTGCAGTCATTGCAATATATTTTTTTAATATTTGCACACAGTGTTGGGAAAAAATATTTTTCACTGAATGAATGATGAATCAAATTATACTAGTAAATTTGGACTTAGTACGTATGTAATTTCACAACTATGTTATTTTTGAAATATTCGTTCCGTTTTCTAGTTTACAAAACAAACAGGATTTACCATGAACTATAAATCCATACCTTTATCGAAATGCGATGTGTACTGTAACTAGGTACCTAAATAATATACTGTGATACTGAGAGTTTGATCGGGTTTCCCAAAAACAATTGATTATATAAAAAGTTAAATCTGGACCTGTCTAAAATAAAAACCTAATTGTAATTCAAATTGAAGGATTTAAACTTCTTTCTTTAAGGACTTTTTAGTGTATGATTATACAGCCGCAGGCGCACAGATAAGCAGAGATAGATATGTGATCTGTAAAATACCTATCTATTAATGACTATTTCATAATTATTATTTATAATTAATATTTACAAATGCATTTCAGGGAGGTCTACAAGCCGTGGTTTGGACAGATGTGATTCAGATCACAGCAATGTTCGGAGCGATGGCACTGGTAGCCGTTAAAGGTACTTTAGACGTTGGTGGCTTTGATGTAGTCTGGCAACGGAATTTTGACAGTGATAGGATAGAGGCTCCTAAGTAAGTTCTGAAATATCCATCCATTTAAGTATTGTAGTACCTATCATCATAATCATATCAGTCGGAAGACGTCCACTGCTGACCATAAGCCTCCCCCAAAGATTTCCAGACCAGCCGATCGGACGCGACGTGCATTTATAGCACCCATATATACTATATATATATATTTAGATCTGTCTTTACCTATGACTATTTTATTGCAATGCAATTATTTGCAGGAACCTTTCAGTTTGAGTTATGTGATAGCTTATACATACCTCGTAGTATAGATATGTATTCATTCCATTATGTTGGATATATATTACAGTCACATGTTTTAAATATTACTATTAGGAAAAACTCGCTTAGAGTAAAATTCTATACACATAGTACGCGTGGTAGTTAAACAGAAACAAACATTTCCTTTTCAGTTGGGATCCTAATCCATTAGCACGTCATACGTTCTGGAATCTAGTGGTTGGTGGACTCGTATACTGGCTTCAGGCGAATTCCGTTAATCAGACTATGGTACAGAGATATTTGGCTTTGCCTACGCTACGCGGGGCGAAATGGTATGTTTGAATTTGCGTATTACTCGTGGCCGTTGCTACGCTTTATCTGAGTCGCGAATGAGTGTAGTGGTGACACATTCTTTCCAATTATTTAGAGTAGTTTTAGTAGCAGTAGAGCTCCTTGTGAAAGAGTTTGTCCAGGGAAGTACTACCTCCTTACGCATTTCAGCCGCCAAGCAGTAAGGTGATCATTACTGTGTTCCGGAAAAGAAAGGTAAGGGTGCTGGTGAAATTACAGGCACATGGGACTTGTCAACTTATGTCTCAGGGTGGCGGGCGCACTGAGAGTGCCCCTCAGATCTTTGCGATTTAAAGCTCCGAGTGGGGCTGTAACTGCTATGGACGGGCGTGTCGCTTACCAGCAGGCGCACGACTTGTTCGTCCCATCACTTGGTATCATAAAAAACAGTTATCTTTTTATCGTATCGATGACATTTACCAATCTACGTAAGGTATCTCGCCGATTGTTACCAGGGTACGCTTTAAACTTAAAGGAAAACAATGGTACGTCGCGTCGTGTGGGGAGGCTCCTTTCGTGCAACCCGTAGTTATGCAAAAATTGTATGAACCAGGAAAGGTCATTATTATTCCTAAATATTAGGGGTTAAAGTATGAAATTGCAGTTTTATTGCAATAGGTTCTTTGAATTTTCATAGAATCTTCATGGTT